TGCTCATTCCCTCGGGCCGTCTGTGACTCACATCTCTCTTCGCCATGATTTGCACTTTCCTCAAAGCTGTTTAAGCCAGACTTGCAGGTTGTGCCTGCCCGGACCTGCCAAGCCTGTGAATCCGGGCATTGCAACCTCTCCAGCTCCCCGGGATGGTGTCCTTGGGGGTTCCTACATCCAAAAACTGCTATAGAGGTACCTGGGCTGTCCTGATACATGCAGCATGTGGTGTCCTGTACATTGAATTCCCCATGGGGACTTATTTTGGGAAACAGAATGACTTCTCTCCAGGAATGACTCCTGAGTCCTCTGGGCTAGTCGTAACTGTCCCGCATACCCCTGCTGTGCTGCAGGCAGCTCGGAGGCAGGCGGTGATCACTGCTCCCCTGCCCTGTGCTGCAAGGCTCATACTGCACCTAGTGTGACTGCTTTTGTAGCTCTTGCCTTTCCAGGCAGAAGGACTTTCGTAATTGCTACAAATGATTCCATTCAGCTGAATCCCATCATTAAGGAGGATTTTCAGAGATGATTTATAAGCCATGATTTCTGGTGTTCGCTAGATATTCGCTAGGCATGCTGAAATACTAACAAATTAGTAGCTTGCTTGCTGTCTCAGCTAGCCGCTTGCCTTGCCCAAATGCAGATATCCCCAATGGCAAAGGCAAGACTGCCCGTATCCGTTCCCCAGCCGTGGAGCTGAGCTGGGTGCTGCAGCGGATCCACACGCCTCCGAACTCCTGCTCCCCGGTGGCCCTCCTGAACGGGCACACGGGCTCTGTCCTATCTGCTCCGCGAGGCTCAAAGCTCAGCCTGGGCAAGCAGGAGCTATGAGACGCCTCTTTCTCAGAGATATTTGTTTGATAAATCAGACAATATGAGAAGCAAAGAGGCTTCTCTGTTCAGGAGAGGATTCCTGACTCTTTTCCGGGGAGCAGAATAAGAAAGAAGCAGTTAGTCAACTTATCAGAGACAAGAGTGGGAACATCTCCAGCCTTCTTGGAAAGCAGATGCAAAGAGCATTATGCTTTGTAGTTCCTCTTTCTTGGGACAAACCAACCCAGGAAGGACACGGCCACAAGACGCTGACTCAGTCCCCGCTGTCGGTTAGGGTTTGATGAAGCAGGAGCTGGCAGTGACCAGAGTGGCTCAGGCAAAGAAATGTTAAGCGGAATCAGCTGTGTGCAAGCGCCCCGGTCCAGCGCGAGGGGAAGGGGCGTCTGCTGCGTGGCCTCCTCCGCTCCTGCGCCAGGAAATTGTCTGGGGAAGCGCCAGGGCTGGGAGCGGAGGCGGCTCCGTGCCGCTTTGCGCAGCGGCTTCACCCGTGCTTGTTTCCTCTGTGCCAGAAATCCCTCGGGACTTGCGGGGATTTCTCCAAACCGGACTTTCCCAAGCTACCAAATCCCCACAGTGCTCCTCATGGCTCTTCTGGTTCAGGCTTGGCTTAGTGAATCCTCCTTTCCCATGGATGCGCCAAGCTCCGCTTGCCTGCTCGGCCCCGGGGGCTGCGTCTCCGAGCAGCGGGCAGTGGCCAAGGCTTTAGCCACGGGCCACCAGGCTGCCCCTCCAGAGGAATGGGAGAGTCAAGCACCAGAACTCCAAACGGTGGATTTCTCCTACCAGTTCCTGGAAGTTTAAGTAGTAAAAGAGGTCCCCTGCCCTGCTCCCCCTGCCACATACTGTCCTCTCTTTCTCCTGAAGTCCCTGCTAGGACACACCACTGCTTTTTGTGTGTCCCCAGGGCATGCAGGAGGCGGCTGCGGAGCTCGGCCCAGCAGGCGCTTCCAGCAGGATGGGGCAGCTCAAGGCAGCAGCTCCTGGAGTCGCATCAGCAAGGAGCACCTCAGCACTGGCAGCAGAACCAAGGGCTCCCGTTTCGTCCCCGTCTCCACACGCCTCCTCACGGTGTCTCTGAGCCCACCCAGGGGTTCTGCCTCTGCTTCTGCAGGGGCCAGGGGAGAGCAAGACTCCTACCACTGCAGTGGTACAGAAAATCTGAAAGGTGGGAGGGCCTTTAAACACTGAAAGCGCCTACAAAAGAGGTATAGTTACAGCGGCAACATGATCTCTTATTTCTTTTGAAACTACAGATCCAAAGACTGAAGTTCATATTGATTTCCCATAATAGTTAGTCCCTGACAAGAAAAAGGACTCAGAAAGCCATGGGCTGTTGTATATCCTAACGTCAGGTGCTAAGTAGGAAAGCAGATCTGTCAGCAATACAGACCCTTCAAAAATAAATCCGTTGCTGCTCACAGCTTATGTTACTCCCACGAAAATGCACAGACTGCCTCCTGTCTGGCAGGGGGAGTGACAGTCACTTTCAATGCGCAAGCTAAGAGGAATCCAGCAGCAGCCTCCGGCTGTATCCAGCTTGTCTCTAATAATTCAGTCTCCTGCAATTATTTCCCCTGGCAGTCCAAGTGCTCCTCCGTTGTAAGGAAAGCCCATTCGGTAGCTGTAACGGCCAGGACGGAGGCGTCAGCGACACAGAAGCTCCGTGTCCTCCTCGGGGTGTGGAGGGGAGGGATGTGTGTACGGGAGACGTCCCCAGTGCGGCGCAGCCCGGGAAGCGCCGTCTTGTCAGGGACTTCCACGGGCAAAGCAATTTCTACCTTTTTTCCTACCAGCCACTTGATTTTGTGGTGTTTTTTTCTTACATCAGGGCACTTCACTGAGCTGTCATTAGAGGACACATGAGCGTGACTTAGGGGAAGGAAGGCTCTGGGTACCTCACTGCCACACAAAAGCTGCTCATGTTCCTCACTGAGGGAGCTGCAAACCGGCTCCATGGGAAGACACTGCTGTGCAACAGGCTGAGTTACGTGTCAAGACCTTAAAATGAAGAGATAGGAAAGCAGCAACCCCGGCACAAAATGGCACAGATCCTTGTCTGCGCTGTGGCTGGCTCCTCAGAGAACCCTGGAGCGCTGTGGGCAGAACTTGCCCTCACGGGAGCTCTCCTTGCCCCCTCCTCCAGCACGTGATGTATCTTCTCGCCCCATGCCCTGTTTCTGCCCACGTGTCCAACACAGACCTCAGCTCCACAGGCCTCCTTCCCCAGGGGAGGGAGCAAGACCACGAGGAGCGCAGCAGCTCAGGCCGGGCTCTGTCCCTCACTGCTTTGAGGGGCCTTCCAAGCGATGAAGGGCCCCAGGGGACAGGCTGAGGTCTCTGTACGAAGGTGAAGCCCTTCAGAGTTGCCTCTTACATCTGGGTTTACACAGGTGCGAGTGGGAGGAGAGGAATAACAAACGAGGCTGGGCTGGAGGCCGCTTGAGGCCTTCATGGGGGCTTCACTGGCTGCTTTTACAGCAGGAAGGGTTCTGGTCCAAACTGATTGTTAAATAAAAATCACGGTCCCCAGCTGACTCCGAAGTTCGGCCTGGTGTCACCTCAGCTTCTCCCAGCCCATTCCAGCTGCCCAGGGAACCCTTTAAAGAAAATCCCAGGGACTTTCTCTTGTCCTCTCTAGTTTTCATGCCCAGCTGCGCTCATGTGCTGAGCTCCTAGGATAGCTTTAAACCTAAAAAGCACCTTGTAAACGGCAAGAACTTTGTCACATAGCATTTTCCTCACACCTTAAGAGCTTTTTTTTCTTTTAAACTGAGATGAATCCAGACATTCTCCTGTCTGCAGAGGGCACCAAAAGACTTTGGCTGTGCAAAGTACAGCCCCAGCAACACAAAGGAAGGCAGCCGAGTGCTGGGAAGGGAAGGCAGTGTGGGAGGGCAGCAGCGGGTTTGCAGGAACCTACAATTCATGGACTTGCTCTTTGAGATCCAGGAGCTCCTGGGAGCGCTGTGCTCCCTCCTGGCCGCTCGCTGAGGACCCCGCTCCTTTCCTGCAAAGAGAAAGAGGAGCTTCGGTCAGCAGGGCTTGGGCATGGGCAGTCCTGACCCCTCGTGAGGCAATCCCGTGAGCAGCGCCTCGCTCTGCGGTGCCATTCCGTAACGGCAGCTTCTGCTCCGACTTCAAGCTGGTGATTATTGCACTTAATCCCTTGTCAAATTTTCCATTACTCCGGAAGCACTGGCATTGGGAAACGTGTTTTTTTTTTTTTCCTGAATAACATAAAAGAAAAAACCAACACAATTCTTTGTCAGCACAGCATCTCTTTCTGTTGTTCAGAGATTATAGAGAAGGCAGAGTTTGCTGGTGACCAAAACCAGGCATCCTCTCTGTACTATTGAAGTCCCTCGTAGGGGGATTGGGGCAGGGGTGGTCTCTGCCATGCAGGGTGACAGTTTGTGGTGAAGTGCTGGCACTGCCAGCACCCCCGGGGCAGAGCAGGGGGAGCTGCAGATCCCGCATTCCCGGCTGGATGTGCACATCCCGCATTCCCATGGGGCTGGGCCTGCAGCATCTCCCCTGGGGTGCCTCTCCAAGGGCTGCCGGGCGGTTTTGCCAACGCGCCGCTTCGTCCCCACGCTCCCCGCGACGCGGACGAGATTCCCCTCTCTTTCCCCAGCATCTCACACAAGCACACGGGAAGTCAGCCCGAAACACAAGACCCGGGAGTATTTTCTGCACCTCAAAGTATTTAAAGAAAGGTGCAACAAAACTCAACTTAGTCGACCGTTTTCCCCAGCAACAAATTGTAGGAGAAGGTCTCTTGCCTCAAGTATTAAACTAAATAAAAGTAAACAAGATCACAGCCAGAAACGCTGTGCTTTCTTCTCACTCAGCGAGCCAGGCCAACAACAAAACCACAGTACTGTTTATTTTATTTAAATTAACAAATCTACATGTTTTCCAGGTTGCTTAAAGCAGTCTGTAAAAAGTGAACACAATCTAAACAAAAAAGGGATTTTAGTAAGATCCATGGACTACTTCTGAGACATATAAGAAGGGCTTAGGAATTAAGAAATAAAAAAGTATATATATTTATATATATAATATATATGTACACACACATATGTGCCCCCCCACCCCAAACAATCCATTAGTGTTTGACACAAAATTTGGTTTTAAAGCTGCAATGCCCCATTTGTAAAGAGCCTTTACAAAATGCAATGCTATACTAAGCTGTAAAAGAAATCATGGACACATCTATTCAAACAACATAAATATTACGTAAGAACTCAATGTAAAAAGAATGTTAAAGTTGCAAAGTCGAGCACTCAGCCAGGAAGATGCTGGAGTTACGGTTGTGTGCGCTACTTTCATTCACCTCCTAGCTGAAGAACTACTGCAGTACATAGTATTTTTTCTTCCAGCACTTGCTTCCTTATGAAAATTGCTAACGAATTAAATTTTGTCAACACTGTTGAAGGGATGGTCCTAGAACTTGATCCACATGCACTAAGTCTCCCTCTCCTGTCTTTTTTTTTTTCCTTTTTTTTTTTTTTTAATAAGATATTGATTGAGTACAGGGGCATTATCATCCCACTTTACAAAACGATAAACTTAACCAAAAATGTTTACTGTTCCAGTTCAAGTAATCAAAATCATCCAAAGCTACTTTTCCCTGTAAGCAGTATCTAGCACTGGTTTGTGCCACAGTGATTCCGTACGTCCAGACATAGCAGCACATGAATGACTTCATCTGGAGCGTTGCCTTCGACATCCCTCAAGTGTGACCCAGCGTGTCCCAGGCTAGGGACATGATTTCTGGCTTCACAGCCTCAACTCCTGCCCCGAGCCCGAAACACACATACAAAACAGAACTTACTGTAAAACCAGCATGCAGCAATCTTTAATTGCATGTCTTAATGCACACATTGGCTAGAGATGAACTAAGGCTACGCAGATCACATCAGCTCCGCCGTTTCCTAGTTATGCCTTGATTTTGCAGCCTTAATACACAAAACAGTTCATGTGTAATTCCAGAGGTCTTAAGGATCCAAGGAGAGCGTGTCACCTATTTCAGTAGGTGCTTCTGCGGGAAGTGCTGGCAGCTTGGGAAGCTGCGGATCCGGATCTGCCAGGGGGCAAACAGGGCTCGGGAGGGTGCGATACACAGAACCAGCATGAACAGAACACGGTCTGGTACCGGGCAACAAGGCCCTCTGGATTCTTGGGCTCTAGTTCCTGGCAGAACATATGCCCTGAGCAGGACGGGCCCTTTTGGTGCCAGCCCAAGCCACCAAAACTCGCTGCGCTCTTGTCCCCAGCACAGTGCAGTTTAACCTCCATCCCGATCAGTGCCCCTTCTCCACTGCTGGTCAGCTCACAAGAGCCAGTTCCACCTATTCAAGGAAGGGGGGGTGAGCTCATCTTCTCCCACCGTTTTTCCTCTGGAAAGCAAAGAATCATGCTAGTGCATGACAAGGGGAGTTTTTCAAGTCTGTTGATCAAAAAATGAAAACTTTTCGTCAGAAAAATCCATCTCTACCACCAGGTATGCTCTGTTCTGCAGTGCGAGGAGAAGCAGGGCTCTCCAGCAGATCCTCTGCCCGACTTACAGGCATGGAGCTGAGAACAGACCCTCCCCAGGCTCTTTCTGTTCTTCCTCATGGCACAAAAGCAGCATAAAAATGAAGGAGCCATAACAAATAGGGAAGATGGAAGAAGGCAACGAGAGGGAGGAGAGCCAAGGAGGCTGAGAAACAGGCTGGATTGGCTCTAAGAACCTGCATCTGAAACTCAACTCAGGCATCAAGTTTTTACATTCCCCTATATTCAACAAACAGCAGTAAAATCTACTAAAAAAGCATGTTGTTTCTTCTTCTACTCCTCAAATCCTATATATTACAAATAATCTACTCCCTTCCCTAGTTATGTTTCACTCAAGTGATAAGAGGTTTGCTGCGGAGTTGAAGGGCTGTACTGAAAAGTACAAATTGGGATCATTGCGGTTACGATGGAATTTAATGTTTTTAAAGTGAGGCTTTAGTCCATGCCCCAAGCCCAACATATTAAAAGATACACACCTGAAAAAACCTCAAAATATTGAATCCTCGCTCAAGAACTGAGCTCCATGCACTGCTTGCACTGCATGCACAGGCACAAGGCAGCCAAATAAAAACTACCCCATGTCAGCTCTGCTGCTTCCTACCTTCTGAATGTGCGACTTTGCAACCTTAATGCTTTTCTAGCAGATCTTTATGCGCTTGAGTGTAACACAATACAGGTATCCCTCCCCCCAGAAATAACTACACCATATTAAAGAGTTTACAAATGTTCTGCCCGGTGTCACCGCTCTGTGAAAACACACTAGATCCCGGGCGCTCATAAAGCAAGTGGCTTCGGACACGTCTCCTCGAGGAGGCTCCGTGCCGTCCTGCGTCTCCGCCGCGCGTCCGGCCGCGGTGCTCCGCGCTACTCCTGCGCCTCCTTGCGAGCCAGCTTGTAGACCTCGGTGGGCCCGTCCACGTGCGTGATGGTGGTGGTGAGCTGCAGCTCCTCGCCGCTGCTCACGGCCAGGTCACCTGCAGGACAAGGGCACTCTGCCACGCTGCTCCCGCAGCCAGGAAGCCAAGGATGGGCTTGATTCGCCACCCGATCCCAGGAGCAGTAATGGGGACTAAGGACTGACATCTCCACTAATCTAATCAGTGCTGCTGAGGGCTTCTGAAAAGCAACCAAGAGCACTGCCATTCTTCACTTGGCCAGACTTCTGTTTCTCCTTTTCCCCTTCCTCCGTTTGGCCGAAAGAATTAGAGTTGGACAAAGCACCTTTAGTTTCTTTCAGTTTTCTGGCAATTATTATATATATATATATATATATATATGTATATATATATCTTTCAGCCATAATCCCAAGAAACCACCTATTAAGGAGCTGAGCCACAACATGAAGTGGTTTCAATGATTTAAAATTAATATTAACAAAGGAGAACAGCTAGAATGTCTCTAGAAAGCATTGACTAAGCACGTGGGCTTTTCTGACATAGTTACAAATAAAATGTCTGCACGAAAAGAAAGTGTTTGGAAAACAAACTATCACATGGATAACATTTCAGGATGACACATTTTCATTTCAGCAAAAGAAGTGCATGAGTATTGACCTGGATACCCCTTCCCTCCCCTGAGGGCTCTCCCGTGCGGCTCAGGCAGAGCCACTCACCATTGGACTGATCTTCCCCGTAGTTCTTGTGCGAGGGCGCGTACAGGAACATCAGCGCGAACACGTACAGGTTCCACATCCCGTAGATGCCCGTGAAGAAGGCGCTGTTCACCTGTATCGTGATGTCCCCCCACTTCCAGTGGCCTTCGGTGACCTGTGCGGAGACAGCGGGCACACGCAGACACGTCAGGAAGACCCGGTTCACTGCAGCTCACGCTACGGCGCCAGCTTTGAGGCAGTTAATAAGGAAGTGTTCCACGGGATCAAGTAAATGGATGTATAACAGCCGCAGTAACAGAGACATTAGCCTCGAGTTCTCTTTGTTAGTTCCCATCTGCAGGAAAAACGGAACTTCCAAAGGGAACATATCAGACAGCTTCTGTGATTTATCATTCTTAAAAGTGACAAAATCTCTCACATTCTGCGATATAACATTGCCATGACGGAGGTGTTCAGCAGAGACTGCCGCATAAAGGGCAGTACCTAGGAGACAACTAGTTACATCTGAAAACATTAGACTTCTATAAATAGGCCTTTTATGCCAGGAAAAGCAGCATGAATAATGCGAAAAGCTAATGTGCTGAATGCCCGGGCTGAGAGCACCAGCCTTAGACATACAGAGATATGTCAAGATTTATGAAAATATCATCAATATTAATACTACCTGAAGATACACAGACTGCGTTGGCTTCCATTAAAGAAACAGAGCCAAGGAGGTAGCAAGTCTTTTGCTGCTAAGGCGAGTTTCCCTTGGAGAGCAATGGGAGGTCCTGCTGCAAAGAGAAACCCCAGGACCTGGGCAAGGAGGAGCGGGCAGGGCAGGAGGAGCCGGGCGCACGGGCAGCGGCGGCCACGGTCATCGCCCACACACTGAATTGCAGGGGGCATCTCTCAAACCCTTGTGTCAGGCTAACAGATTTTTCTGCTATATTTTCCATCAGGACCAGCCACATGCCCTGAAGCATAAACAGTGCTGAGAGTTGAGAAAATCTCCCCAAGCACATAATTCTATAGAGTACCTCATAAGAAGATGGTACATACAACCGTATCCACTGTTTCTGTGAAGCTGCAAGCAGCTTTGCCTTTAGGAACCACCATAAATGTCACATTTGAGACAAATGCAATTTTAGCAGTGGGCTATTTGCACAGAAAGCTCATTTGCAGATAAAGACTGCATTCTAGCTTGGAATGAATAGGTATATATGCTGCTAGAAACAATACGGTTGCTAAGTCAAAACCCAAGAAATATTTTATTCTGGTATTTCTTATGTTTCTTTGTGGTATAAAAAGCCACGGGTTTCTTTTAACACAAACAGAACATCTTCCCTCTTGCTGAGTTCTCAGAAGTGACTGAACTATTTTGGCTGATATTTCAGAAAACGCAGGCCCAAACGTTGCTGTGAGCCAGGCGCCTTTGTGAAAGCTCCGGCCTCACCGATTGTATGGATAAAAAATAAAGGAAAAGGAGTTCTTAAAAAGCAGCTGTACCTACAACACGCACGCGGCCCTCCTTTCTGACCTGCACAAGGTGACCCTGGTACTGGGGAATCTGAGGGCGACCTGCTCAGCGGGAGCCGCGTCCCGGCACTCACCTGACTCACGATGAAGAAGATGACCGTCATGGCTGCACAGGCCAGAGTAATGAGCATCAAGAACTTGAACCTAAAAATCAACCCCTGCTTAGAGAGAAATGTCACTGGTCACATTAACAGAATCCACAAAAACCCATTTTTGTTTTTAGCATGTAAAAGACAAGTTTAAAAAAAAAAAAAAGAGTCCAACCCACGAAACCCCAAACCAAAACAACTTCCACCCACTCCTCTGTACTGTGCTCCTGCCAGCCAATATTCTCCACTCCCCACACACGTCTGCATTCCTCCCAGCACGCCGACTCGGGCCTACATGTCTGGACAGCTCTTGCTTTCCATTACACTCGCTTTTGTGACTGATTTGCTATGAGTTAGTGCGAGCGAGGCGGCTGAGCAGCCCGAGCGGGACGTCTCGGTGACCCAAGAGCAAACCCGGCAGCTCCCAGCTTTGCTGAGCACACAGAGCTGCCTTTGGTGCCCTGCAACCTCCACGGAGAGCTCTTTGGGTGCTACAGCTCTGCTGCTGGGTTTGCACCAGGAGACCGAGCCTCAGCCCCAGGGAACATCCGGCAGGAATTACAGCAATTCCAAATGCTTGCCAAAATCTAGTCTGCATATTGCAAAAGAACGGCGATTGCAAGACAAGCAATTTATGGCTCAAGATCACATTGTTTGGAATCCTACCATGCACGTCATTTGCTTTTACTAGTTTTAACATTTTACTAGATTTGTTTTCTTTTTCTCTTTTATTTCTTTGTAATTATTTCTGCAGTTTTGAAGGAAATGCCAGTGTGTGCATTAGGCCACAGCATGACCACATATAGCTGTTAGTTTAACTTCTCCAGATAAAATTCAGGTCTGCTGGATGCTGGTGGCTGGAGCACAGCTACAGCAGCAGAAGTCATGCACCTCTCATTAAGGGGAAAGATGGGGGGAAAAAAAAGCTAAATATCTTGCCCAGATTTTCTCACATCCTATTTTCTCTTTGGAAGGAATTATGTGCATTCCTGATGTGTGATAACCGATCTGTTCAAATTGGAGGTGACCATTATCAAACACAAAAATATTGGTGAAAAATATTTACACACCCAGGAAAACAACAGGCTCTCTCAGCTCTAGCACTTAACAGTGAGCTCCTCTTGTTTTGCAGCAGATAAAGACAGCTAGGACGGAAACAACATACAAAAACACAGACTAAAAGGGGGATAATTAGCTGAACGCATTGGATTTTAATCCTGTTCTGACAGTCTCTCTTTTGACATTTCTCCAGGAAAAATTACCCCCAAAATCTGTGACTTTGTGGTATGGGAAAACAGGAAGGTCTTAGCATTACTTTCCATTACACACAATCCCTGATATTACAGAAGGAGAAACTGGGACACAGAGATGTGTGATGTGCTTTCTCCCCATAATAGCTTAAATTGTAATTTGGAGAATGATCCTCTATCCTTGAATACTGTTCTGAGGGAAAAGATAGTAAACTGGGAGATCACAGTCACTCATAAAAATGAGAGTTAACTTCCATACCCTCCTGGGGGATGAAAACATTACATCAGGGCTAAAGATCCAAATAAAGGGAAACAAAAACAGCACTAATGACAGCCCAAAGAAACACAAAGGCAATTAGGGAGATTTGAGCAACATAAGAAAGCCGATAAAAACCACATTTCCAGGTTCAGGAAAATATCAATAAAAAAGTTTTTAGCATGCCCTTGCTAAAACCAAAATAAAGCTGAAAATGCATTTTAAAATAAAGACGCTGAGCAGCCACGAGTTACCACCTCGTAATGCAGACGGCGAGCCTTGCTCATTGCCGGCAGGCTGGACTGCTTTCCGCTGATGTTCCTGAACACTTGGAAGACCATAAAACACAGGAACAGAAAATACAGACACAGGCAAATGCCTGCAACTATAATAAAGGCCATCTGAATAGCGTAAGTTAAGAGAAATAGCATACACAAAATGGAAATAATATAAAACGCAATTCAGGGGTTTCGCTCACATTAGTAATGTCACAAAGACGGTAATTCAATTTTTCGAGGGCAGCAGCCATCAAAGCCAGAGCGCTGCCCCCGCGAGCGCGGCTGCCCCCGGCCCGGGCCCGGCTGCTCCCCCAGGACCCCGATCCCGGGAGGCTCCTGCGAGGGGCCGGGATGCGGCCCCGGGAGGGGAAGCACTGCCAGCAGGATGGGGCAGCTCCAAGGAGCAGCTCCCGGAGCCGCTTCCGCAGCGAGCACCAGGGTAACGGCAGCAGAGCGAGCTGGAGCAGCCCTCGCTCTGGGATCACCCTGGCAGCTCCGGGGACCCGAGTCCTCCTGCGCTTCTCCCCAGATCACACAGCGCTCGAGGCAGCGCTTCCCTTTCCCAGTCGCTTCTCCCCAAGCACATCCGCAGTTCCCGGCGGTACCAGCCGGCACTGCCGCTTCCCAGCCCGGAGGCACCTCCCGGAGCCCTTCCCAGCTGCCAAGGGAGGAGGGTTTCCCTCCCTCAGCAGGTATCTGCTGGGGGATCCGCAGGATCTGCACTTCCCTGCACTTCCCTGCATAGCAGCAGGGGCCCCCAAGCCCAGCAGAAGGATACAGCCAGCTCCGTGCCCACTTCAGTGGTCCAGATGCTGTAGAAGGGGTTTTTCAGTTGCACTCCCCTGGCAAGGAAGAGAATACGGTGCTGTCAAGAGTGCCAAAAGGAGTAGAGAGAAGCACTTCTGCTCTGCAGCCTGGAAAGAGCCACCCAACAAGAGCAGCCCTTGCCTTCCCCTCTGCACCAAAAAGCCCAGGTGGGGAGCATCTCTCTTTGATCCAAGGGACAGGATAGGCTGCTCTGACCCGCCAGAGAACTGCACAGCGTTCATTAGGACTGTTCTCTGTCACAGGGAACGACTGCCCTGCTTGGCAGGAGAAGCTGTGAGCAGGGGCACACATCTGTGTGTCTGCACGTTGGTGCTCACGTACACGAGCACTCCGTTTCTTCAGACGACTTGGCCCTTTCCAGTGCAGCAAAATACACTTGTGTTTATCAAGTGCTTCTCAGTGACCCTCAGAAAGGCTCGCAGAGAAAGGAGTGAGGACTTGTCCCAGCTCTGCACACAGTTTTCCACTGGGGCGAGCAAACAAGACACGCGCTGCGGCACACGAGACACGTCTCACACCTCATACCCAGTCACGCAACTTAAACCATTTGCTTGCTCACTCATTGTGGCACCTTGAAACTGTGTGCTCAAAATCAGGCAGGTGCCAGGGGATCCCTGGGGGGTATTGTAAAGGTTCTGCTCCTCTCCTCACGTGCCACACCGCGTGCACCAGGGCCCATAGTGCTCACCTGGCTCCCAAGGCAGGGCTTCACCTACCTCTCACACATGTCGAAGATGAAGAGGCAGAAGGAGCCAACAGCGATGGGCCCAACCTGCTTCCAGTACCCAGAGAGGCGATTCCGCTCGTTCTGATCCTAATGGAAGCATCGGGAGGTGGGGAGGAGAGCAGGAGAAACCAAGAACAGCATGTTGGTGTGTAACCATCTGATCCAGAACGCAGTCCCACAGCACTGTTTCCAGCGGGCAGCAAGTAAAGAGAGGTTGCCCGGGTATTGCTGCAAGTTGGGGTGGCAGCCACTTTCCTTTCAGTGTCCTACCTACCATCATGTGCTCTCCGCAGAAGATGATCCAAAACGACAGGAGCATGGCATAGAAAATGCCTTGTCGGATGTCTCCAAACAGTAACATCCAGGTCCAGTCAAATCCAATGGAGAACCACTCCACTGGGATGTTGATGAACGTCATGGAAATTCCCAGAGCAAAGATGACCCTGGAGAAGCAGAAATACCATCTCACTCCAGCTTGCAAGGAAGCGATATGGAGCGATAGAGGCAGAGAGGCAGCACAAGGAGCGAAGCAGCGTGGGATGGGCGCCATGAGGGTGTTCCCAGAGCCAAGGGCAGCACCTTCCCTCCACCAACCCCTCTGAGACGAAGCCCTCGCAGCAGCCACAGGCAAACGCAGCCCCAGAGGAAGCAGCCGGGTCCACGTGTCCCCCGGGTAACAGGTCTCTGCCCGGTGAGGCTCGAGAGAGGCTGTGATTATGTCATGAACCTCAGCTGGGGCTTCTTGTATGTGCTCCAAAAGCCACCCAGCAGGGCCACCTCACCCGAGAGCGCTCGTCCCTACTCACTTCTCCAGCAGGACGGGAGCCCGTGTCATCAGCGTGATCCGCCGCCAATACCACACCATGATAATTAAGATGCTGGGGGTGAGGAAAGTTTTCATGGCAAACCACACTTTTGTAAAGCCTCCATTTTGATGGATACCCTAAGGAAAAACAAAGTAGACTGCAGCAGCTGTACACATTTTAGCATCATTATTCTTATACTTATTCTTACCCTCTTCCCTGCTTTTTCTCCTGTGCCAACATGAGAGAAGTACACTGCAACATTTAACATGCGAGCACATGTAGATGCAACCACAGTTTGAAAGACGCTGTTTTTTCAACACAGGAAAGAGCAGCTGCCTACGCAGCCCCCAGACCAGCCAAGCAGGCTTCAAAAGTCCTGAAAACCAAAACGCGCGGGAGCAGGAAGGTGGTCTGAGAGGCGCTTCCGACCCAGCATGGAAAAAGCGCACAAAACTGTTCCCAAAAAGTAACAGGACGTGCATGGAGCTAGTCACCACTGCTGGGAAGAGCACTGGGCAGACTGACGCGTGTCCCCAGACAGCCGCCCTCCCCAGCACCTGCGAACACCACGGCACGGCTGGCTCGGCGGGATGGAC